GCTGGAATCTCTCCTTGGTCATCTTCTGGCATTCCTCCCCCGCTTCCGTCGAAGCGCGCAACAGCATGGCACCCTGAACGTTCGGGACGACCCTCGCGTTCAAAACCGCGCCCGAGCTGTACGCCGGGAGTACTTCGCAAGACTTGACCCACGCGCTGGCCTCCCCCAACCCTCCCATTTCGATCATCTCCCAGACACGCGCGGGCGCTTTCTGCGCGGAAACCAAGCTTAAACCCGCGAGCCTGTGAATCTCTGAGGCGAACATTAGACTGTAGAAGACTTGCAACTCTGGGCCTTCTCTCTCCATTTGCTCGCCCCTGTTGTCCTTCTCTTCCATCGTCGCCTCCAGATACTCTGCGCGCGCGCTGCTCGCGCAATCGCTGCTGGCTGGTCCCCGCCAATCGCGAGGCTTAGGCCAGTGTTCTGTTATTGTTTTAAGTCTCACGCGCACCTCGAACTGCACCGCGAGCTGGACCCGTATCATGGCATCCGCGTCTGATCCCTTGCTGCCGGGCCCCCGCTGTCTCTCGGTCGCTATGATGCTCCGAGGAGCAGCTCGATATCTTCGCACCGGGCAGTAAGAAACTCACATTCAAAGGTTGGGCTACGAAGCTCCACGGGGTGCGCGTTCACGCGCTGGGACAATTCCAGCGCGGTCGAGGAAAACTGCGCCCGCGGGCCGGTTGAAATGTGTTGCCCAGTTGCGTTTGCGGTTGCGCGCCCGCGGGCGGGTTGAAATGTGGCGCCCACTAGCGGATGCAGTTGCGCGCCCGCGGGCGGGTCGAAATGCATCGCCCAGTTGCGGTTGCGGTTGCTCGCCTGCGGGCGGGTCGAAATGTGTCGCCCAGTTGCGGCTGCGGTTGCGCACCCGCGGGCGGTTTGAAATGTGTCGCCCAGTTGCGGTTGCGGTTGCGCGCCCGCGGGCGGATTGAAATGTGTCGCCCAGCTGCGGTTGCGGTCGCGCGCCCGCGGGCGGGTCGAAATGTGTCGCGTAGTTGCGGTTGCGGTTGCGCGCCCGCGGGCGGGTCGAAATGTGGAGCCCAGTCGCGGTTGCGCGCCCGCGGGCGGGTCAAAATGTGTCGCCCAGGTGCGGTTGCGGTTGCGCGCCCGCGGGCGGGTTGAAATGTGTCGCCCAGTTGCGGTTGCTGTTGCGCGCCCGCGGGCGGGTCGAAATGTGGCGCCCAGTTGCGGTTGCGGTTGCGCGCCCGCGGCGGGCGAAATGTGTCGCCCAGTTGCGGTTGCGCGCCCGCGGGCGGGTTGAAATGTGTCGCTCAGGTGCGGTTGCGGTTGCGCGCCCACGGGCAGGTTGAAATGTGTCGCCCAGTTGCGGTTCCGGTTGCGCGCCCGCGGGCGGGTCGAAATGTGTCGCCCAGTTGCGGTTGCGGTTGCGCGCCCGCGGGCGGGTTGAAATGTGTCGCCCAGTTGCGGTTGCGCGCCCGCGTTCGGGTTGAAATGTGTCGCCCAGGTGCGGTTGCGGTTGCGCGCCCGCGGGCGGGTTGAAATGTGGAGCCCAGTTGCGGTTGTGGTTGCGCGCCCGCGGGCGGGTTGAAATGTGTCGCCCAGTTGCGGTTGCGCGCCCGCGGGCGGTTTGCACTGTGTTGTTCAAGGTGCCCTCCTGACGTTCAGTCAGTCAATCAGTCAGTCAATCAGTCAGTCAATCAGTCACCAGCGGGCACGGAATTTCACCCGGCTCCGCCGGGAAAGAACTCCAGCCCCTGGAACATCGCCACGTGGGTGGTGACGGCAAGGCTCAACATAACCAGCACGCCGCGCCAGTTCCTCAGCGGGCCGTGGCTCCAGAAGCAGAGCGAGCCGTCCACGGCGATCCTGTCGACGCCCCCGAGCTCGGCACGCAGCGCCGCACTGGAGAGGACCTCCTCTGCGCCCACCGACGCCGCGGGGTCGAACCGGAGCGCCGCCGCGGCGCGCAGCAGCTGGAAGGTGCTCTCCACCAGCCCGACCCCGTTGGCGTGCGCAATGCAGACGGGCCGCTGGAAGAGCACGGAATGGACCTGCCCGGTGCGCTGGTCGAGCACAAAGTGGCGCGGCGACATGGACCGCTGCGCCAGGTTCGCCACCACGGCGCCGCCGTAGTCCAGGGTGGCCTCGCCCGGGAGGTCGAGCAGGTACTGGCTCCAGAGGAACTGGTGGGTCTTGCCGCTCTCGCGGAACTTCGCCCCGGCACGACTACGGTCTGGCAGCAGTCGCTAGACGGACAAGGTCCGTCGGATCGCCACCTCCAGCGCAGCGGCGCGGCCCCCGTAGACGCCTCCATTCAGATAAACCGCCAGTGATCCGTCGTTCGTGAACGCCCGTCGCACGATAGTCCGCCAATGGTGACGCATCTGGCCGTTACCCATCTTGGCCAGGCAGGGATTGTGCTGGTCCACCGAGGAATCCATCGTGCAGGAAAAACTGCAGGAGTCCGACATGGCGGCAATTCCTGCGCCTCTGCAATCTCTTCGTGGTCGACCGCAGGCGTGGGGTAGCCCTCGAGGCCTGCAGGGTAGAGGTCGAACTCGGAACCGGCAAACATAGATTTACCCATTGCCTCAAACGCCTGTGTAAGATTCCTATCGCAGCCCCACGACGTCGAAGCTTCCGTCTTCGCCTGCACCATCCAAGCACCTACTGTCCAACTGCGCTTCTGGCTCCGAGGAAGTCCTGCCCCTCGCGAAAGAAGCGCAGGATGCGCCGCTTCCCCGCGCTCCCCCGCGAAGCACCCCGGGCGCACAGAAAGGGGGGCAGCATGCCGTCGAGGGAGCAGGCGCCAGGCGAGTGCTTGAGGCCCGACGTCGTCTCCGAGGCAGGACAGCGACACGCACGCTGCGAGCCAGCGCTGCCTGCCCGGCGCGCGCGGGCGATGCCGCAGAGGGCACTGACTCAGACCCAAAAACGTTCTAAGAACAAAAACAATGTTCTTATAACAAAAACCCGATGTACTAAAACAAGACAGTCCCAGCCAGAAATGTTCTAAGAACATTTCGTGGGAACCACACAAGGTTCTTAGAACATTGTTTGGTGGGGCTATAGGCTATCTGGGACGCTTCGCCACTGCTTGATTATCTGCAGCCGCGCACAGAGCCCGTCAGCTGCACGCACGCATCGAAGCCCCTCCGGATGCAGCCAGCGCTTCACTGCGCAGGCGTCCAGGACGCCTGCGCAGTGAAGCGCTGGCTGCATCCAGCAGGACCAGCAGGACTCCTGCTGGACTTCGCGCGCTCAGCCGCCAAAGGAGTGGTAGAACGAAGCCATGTTTCCCAACAGCGCGACAAGACACGTTCTGCACCACGTCTGATGAGGACCGAGTGCCTGTCGCCTCTGCAGCCAGGAACCTCGTCGGGCACGTCGCGCTAGCACTGGAAACCGTCCAAAGGGAAACTGCGATAGGTACGCTGCGAAAGAGACTCCAAACTAACCACGCGGTCCACGGTGCTATATGGGCTACCATGCCACTAAAGGGAACACAAATAATTTCCTTGCGCAGAAAACATAAGTATTGTTATACACATGCGCGTAGCATAAGCTGAAACCTCCTGGCCGGCAACACAACCGCGATGAAGCGCGCCGCGCGAAACGCATCAAGGCGCTGCAGCCTTGAGCCAAAATGGCTACGGATTGTCCTTGTGTCTTTTGATGGTTTCTCAGCCCCCAAGTGGAGGATGGATTGGACAAAGGAGGAGGACGAGGAGGAAGGAGGATGGGGAAACGATGGGGAAGGATGGGAGGACGAGGAGTGGATAAGAGGGCGAGGTCAGGAGCGGAATGGAGTTGGAAAGAGAGCGGTTCCTTCTCAAACCCTTTGCGGGCCGAAAGGCCACCAAACCCATCCAGTCTGGAGCCGGATCCTCCCCCTCCCTCGCCCCCCTGCAAAGCTCCGACCCCTTGAAACTTCGAACCCCGACCCCACCAGCGTCGACGCTCTCGTCGTCGTCGTCGTCGCTGGCGTGGTCGCCGAGGCCGTCGTCGTCGAGGTCGAGGTCGGGGCCGAGGCCGGGGCCGAGGCACGCCTCACCCCGACGAGGGCACCCCCCCGGCAGGCGCAGGGCCTCCGCGTCCGCCATCAGCTGCAGCGTCTCCTGCGGGCGGCGGGCGGCGCCGCGCCAGCCAGCTGGCCCCGCGCGGGGAGCCAGCCCCGCGGGCGCCGCCCGCCGGCAGCCGACGGCGGCGGCGACCACGGCACCGACGACGACCGTCTTGCGGACACGCGGGCGGCGGGCGACGATCAAAAAAACGGGTATTGCGCAAGATGGCGCAGCGACCTTATACGCGGTGGCTTACAAGGGCCACCAGCGAGGCGAGTCACTGTGGAGACGAGGGCGCTTACGCGAGACCTTACGCGAGCAGCTCCCGCGCGAATGTCGGCGCAATCGAGCCCGTTGTTTTGCGCCGCTCATGTGGTCTGACAAGCAGGCTGGACGTCGTTTCTGTCGACCTCTCCCTCGTGCCCGCCCAGGGGGCTTCTTCTCGTATCAGCCAACGACGGCGGCGTCGGCGACAACGACGACACAGACGGCGCCAGCGACGGCGGCGGCGACGGCAAAGACGACGACGACGACAAAGACGTCGACACCTTCTTTGCGGAGGTTGCCGCGCGTCTCCGGAGGTTCCCGTCGTCACGGACGCGGCTCGAATAATTGACCAGGGTGGACCCTACGAGTGGACCAGGCACCGATTTTGAGCGGATTCTAGTCCTACGACGACTTCGACGAAACGGCGGCGGTGGGGGCGGCGGCGGCCCCGCTCGGGAGGCCCTTCCCGGGCCACTGGGCCACCAAAGCAATGCGCCGACCCACTCGGTGTGTGGGAGGCCCCTCGGCGCGAGGCCAGCCCAACCCAAACTGAAGCACGCCAGGCTCCTTGGAGTCGTCGTCGTCGTCGTCGTCATCGTCGTCGTCGTCGTCGTAAGAGAGATCGAACAAGCAAGGGGGATCGAACAATGTCAAAATGTCGTCGATGAGAAGCCCCTGCTTCCCTTTCTCCCTTCCCCGCCTGGGAGGGGTGTGGTCCCGCGGGGGGTCCCAGGGGGGTCCTGGGGAGGATCTCGGGGATGATCTCGGGGAGGTTCGCAGGGCACGTGACCCACACCCCGGGCGGTCCCCCCCTTTGTGGAGAAGGAGGACAGAGGGGTGGTCTCCCTGTAGGGAGGGGAGCTCAGGACCCCTCCCCTCTCCTCTTGAGCAGGGACCGACCGCCCCGGCATTCCTGTAGGCCTACCACGACATAGTCTTAGAACCCAAAAATGTTCTAAGAACTACAGTGCTCTTAGAACATAGGCCCGATTCATGAAAGCAAGACAGTCCCAGCCAGAAGTGTTCCGATAACATGACGTGCAAACCGCAGAAGGTTCTTATGGGCCTATAGGCGAACCAAGACGCCTCGCCACTGCTTGATCCTCGGCCCCGGCCTCGGCCCCGGCCCCAGCCCCAGTCCCTGCCCTGGCCCTGGGCACCAGGCTCAGCCCCAGCTGGGCCCCGGCCCCAGGCCCCGGCCTCGACCTCGGCCCTGGCCCCAGCTCTGGCTCCAGCCCTGGGCCGCCCCCGAGGCGACAGACGGTTTCCCTTTTCCTTCTCCTCCTCCTCCTCCTCCTCCTGCTCCTCCTCCTCCTCCTCCTTCCCCTCATCCTCTTATTCGTCATTCGTCCTCCTCCTCCTCCTCCTCCTCCTCCTCCTCCTCCTCCTCCTCCTCCTCCTCCTCCTCCTCCTCCTCCTCCTCCTGCTCCTCCTCCTCCTCCTCCTCCTCCTCCTCCTCCTACTCCTCCTCTTTCTATTCCTCCTCCTCGTCTTCTACGTAGTTTTTTTTCGTCTGATTGCTATGATTTGTATCGCGAAATAGTGTCGATGTTAGTATTAGTATTATTAGTTTATGATGGTATCCGTCTTAATCTTCTGCTTGTTCAGAGCATTATTCTTCGTACTATTATTTGTCGTACTCATATGGCTAACACATTACTGCTATCAGCATCCGTGGCCCTATCATTAGTATTGGTATGTCTTTACTATCAAAGATCAGAGTATTCGTCGCATGATTCGCATGAACGCTGCCATTGATATTCTCAGGAGTGAAATGATTAGTGTTCTTAGCTTTCACACTATTACCATTCGAATAGGTTAACTGTTAAGTCCGATGATTACTGATATGATTGAGAGTAGTATTACTAATATGACGATGCTTCTTCCCTTCTCAGAATGTGTAGTCTGATTTGTAGTGCTCGGATTATTTCCCAATCGGAGCTTGCCTCTGTAGGGGTCCTAGCGGATCATACGAATAGGTTAGGTTTGCCGCCGATTTTCGCTGCACGCCCGGGTGCCTGGGTGCCTGGGTGCCCGGGGGTGCCCGGGTGCCCGGTTGCCCGGGTGCCCCATGGGTGCCCGGGTGCCCGGGGGTGCCCGGGTGCCCGGGTGCCCGGGTGCCCGGGTGCCTGGTTGCCCAGGTGCCCGGGTGCCCAGGTGCCCGGTAGCTCTATATAGCCATGTAGCCCTACAGCCCTGTAGCCCTATAGCCCTAATAGCCCTGTAGCCTTATATAGCCCTATAGCCCTACAGCCCCATAACCCTATAGCTCCATGGCCCTATAGCCCTATGGCCCTGTAGCCCTTTAGCCCTATAGACCCATAGCCTTCTAGCCCTACAGCCTTATAGCCCCATAGCCCTAAAGCTTATGATTGGGGCTTTTCTGCGGTAGCATTATGAGTCTTAAGGGTACTGTATTCTGATCATTCGCATGATTCGCTGTCTTCTTCGTGTTACGATCCTCCATAAGATTTATGGATTATTTCTCCTCCTCCTCCTCCGCCTCCTCCTCCTCTTCTGCTCCTCTTCCTGCTCCTCCACCTCCTCCTCCTCTTTCTCCTCCTCCTCCTCCTCCTCCTCCTCCTCATGATTATCCTCCTCCTCCTCCTCCTCCTCCTCATTCACCACCTCCACTTCCTCCTCCTCGTCCTGTTTCTCGCTTCCTTTTCCTCCCTCTCCTCCTCCTCCCCCTCCTCCTCTATTCCTCCTCCTCCTCCTCCTCCCTCCTCCTCCTCCTCCTCCTCCTCCTCCTCCTCCTCCTCCTCCTCCTCCTCCTCCTCCTCCTCCTCCTCCTCCTCCTCCTCCTCTTCCTCATTCTCCTCCCTCCCCTCCCTCTCCCCTTCCCCTTCTTCTGTCCTCGTCCTTATCCTCCTCCTCGTCCTCCACATCCTCGTCCTCCCCCTCTTCCTCCTCCTCCTCCTCCCTCATGCTTCTTCTACTCCTTCTCCTTTTCCTTCTCGTTCTGCTTCTCCTTTTCCTCATCCTTGTCAGTCTTCTTCTCCTCCTTTTCTTTCTCCTCCTCATCCTCCTCCTTGTCCACCCTGGGGCCGGTCGAAAGGACGGGTCGGGCGTGTCGACTGAGTTCTCCTGATCGTATACGATCCTGAAGTTAGAATGTGCAACAGTTGCACGGATGGAAGGCGGGTCATTTTCATATGTGGATCTCGCTTCAGCGCCGCGCACATTCGTCTGGAAAGTTTGCAGCTGCTTCCCGGATGGAGGGCGGGCCAGTTACAACATGTGGTTCTCGCTTTAGCCCCGCGCACATTTGCCTTAAACATTTGCAAGAGTGTCACGCGTGGAGGCCGGGCCGTTTTCAACATGTGGTTCTCGCCTTCGCGCCGCGAACACTCGTCTTAAAACCCTGCCAGATTTTTACAGGTGGAGGCAGCTCCTTTTCAACATGTGGTTATCGCTTCAGCGCCGCGTACATTCGTCTCAAGAATTTGTAACAGATTCTTGGAGTCCCATGGTAAACGTTCCAAGAACTGCATTTTGGCCCGATGCCGGAATGCGAGGGCGCAGCAGTCACATTGATTCGATGCGTTGAAATCACAGGAATGGTGCCCTCGCGCGATTCAGGCTCGTCAAGACGGAACACTAACCATGATTCGCGGCGTTGAACTTCCAGAAATGATGTTCTGGTGCAGCTCCGCTTTTTCAAATGGTAGTCTTCCAACGATGCACCTCCATCAATGAAAACGAATCCTTGTAGAGGCCTGCGAAGAAGGATTTGGACGGATGGTTGATTGCAATACCGTTGATGAGTCTTGGGTTTACACTGGTCCTCCTCCTTCTCCCTCAACCGCCCGCCCCATGTCCCGAGCCTGTGGCAGGGTCATCAGCTCGTCGTCGTCGTTGTCGTCGTGGTCGTCGTCGTGGTCGTCGTCGTCGGTCGGCGGCACTGGCCGTACCTTCGCGAGCCCAGGCTGCGAAAAAAAACTACGCCGGGGGTCCAGGATCGAGGGGAACAAAAAGTGACATAAACACAAAAAACTCGGAGGTCCGCGCAGATTTCTCGGATCGGCGCTGGACCCCCCTCCCTGGCGCGCGGAGCGCGCCAGGGGCGGCCCCGGAGGCGCCGCCGGGGGGCCCCAGCGCCGATCCGAGAAATCCGCGCGGACCTCCGAGTTTTTATGTTCATGACACTTTTTGTTCCCCTACCAGAGCTCCCGCAGGTCTCACAGGACACACACGGGTCCTATAGAGGCCTTCTGCTGCTGTGCTCTGCCGGGGCAAACTGCCGTACCCCGTGGCTCTCCTCTGCCTCGAACCTCCGGGCACCGTTTCCGGGCCCCGGGACCGTTCAAGGGCAGATCCGGCACGGGACACTGCCCTGGACGTGGCACCACCTCCCCCCCCACGAGGGGCGCAGGTCGGCGCCCCGGGGCGCGCCCTGGCTCCGCCGTGCAGCCGTCGGCGTGCTTGCGTGCGACCTCCGGGGCAGGCAGGCTGGAAACATTCGCCTGGCAAGGGACCCACCCATTCGCTGTGAGTACCGTCTTCGGTGGGGCTCCCCCCAACGCAGCCACTGGGGCCGTTGGTGGAGCCCCTGGGACCACGAAACGTCTGAGGGGTGTGCCAACATGGGCGCGGCGGGCGCACGCGAACGCAGACACTGGGGCCGTCGGTGGAGCTCCCTATGGGGCCACGAAACGCGCGAGGGGTGTGCCAACATGGGTGCAGCAGGCGCATGCGAACGCAGCCACTGGGGCCGTCGGTGGAGCTCCCTATGGGGGCCACGAAACATGTGAGGGGTGTGCCAACATGGGTGCGGCGGGCGCGTGCGAACGCTTGCATTTGGGCTTTCGGTGGAGCTCCTGCGACGTCGCGATTCTTTCACGGCGTCGGACGTTGGGGTTGCAAGTCCGCCTGGGCGCGCGAGATAGTGCAGCAACCATGCAGATCGAACATCCCTTGCACGCTATTTGGGCCAAACGCTGCTTCGAGGCGCGGCTGGTCGTACTCCTCAACACTGTCCTCGTCATCGCCTTGTTATCATCATTATCGTCATCCCCTGCCTCTCCTTGTATGCCTTCTACCTCCCCCCGTCGTTCTTCCTTCCTGCATCTTCACCACACCTTCCTCAACCTCCTCCAGTTTATCCTCCTCCTCCTAGGCCCTCTCGCCTTCTTATCCCTACCTTTCCTCCTCGTCCTCCTTCTCCCCCTTCTCACCCTCAGTCGTGTGCATGTCGTCGTCGCCTTGCTCCTCCTATTCCTCATAGTTCACCTCATCATCGTCATCATAATCATCATTATCATCATCCTAATCATCATCAGCAGCAGCAGCAGCAGCAGCACAACCACCATAATCAGCATCATCAACAACAGCATCAGCATTATCATCAGCATCACAATCACCACCACCATCATCATCGACATCAGCGCCATCGTCATCATCATCAACATATTGACTGCTACCCTCATCAACATGTCCATCATCATCAGTCGCGGGTTCATCGTCATTATCATCATCAGCGTCATCAGCATCACTATCAACATCATCAACATCCTCATATGTATCACCAGTAGTATCATCATCAGCAGCATCATCGGCATCACCATCATCATAATCAGCATAAGCATCACAAGTATAGACAGCATCATCGTCATTGGCATCGTCATCATAATCAGTAGCACCATCATCATCATCGGCAGCATCAGCATCAGCATCAGCATCATCAGCAGCATCATCATCACCAGCAGCATCAGCATCAGTATCATGACTACCATCACTGAAATCACAGCCACAATCGTCAACATCATCAGCACCATGATCATCATCACCATGAGCATCCTCAGCATCAGCATCATCAGCATCAACATCATCAGCAACATAATCAGCATCATCATCATCATCATCATCATCATCAGCACCATTAGCAGCCTCAGCCTCAGCATCAACATCAACGTCATCGTCGTCGGCGTGGTTCCCTCCTTCCTCCTCCTCCTCTTCCTCCTGCTCCTCCTCGTGCTCCTCCTCCTCCTACCCCCCACCCCTCCACCCTCCTCCTACATTACATCCGCCTCCCTCCTCCTCCCTCATCCTCCCTCTTTCTCCCTCTCATCCTCCTCCCTCTTCTTTTTCTTCTCCGCCTTTCCCACCCCAGACGCCCACGTATGGTCTCGCGAACGTCGTCAGCGTCGAACCCAGAGATCTCGCCCCTCTCCCCAGGACGGCAAACTCATCCCGAGTCGTTGTTTCGATGTCCGAGGGCCTGGCGAGGGCCCCAAGGCTGAAAACTCGACGCGATGTGTGCGTGTGTGTCGCGACGCGGACGGGAGCTGGGCCTCCCTCCCCCCCCCCGTGTTCAAAAAGTCGCCCCCCCCCCCCGACCTGTCGTGGGGTTCGTCCTGGCCCGAACCCCGAGGGGAAATCCAGCGGAGCCCGCGAGGCGCCGCCCAGATGTCTAGAGCGGGCGGGGAGGGGCCGAGACACCGAAGACCCTCGAAGATCCCCGAAGACCCTCTCCAGGGATCCTCGAACGGCCGCGTACCTAAACCCCGAAGATCCTCACCCGTTCCCCGAGCGCTCCTCCGCGCGCTCGACCTTCTCACGCGCGAGCGACACCACCTTCTGCGCCTCGAGGCCCTCGTGCTGCCGCTTCAGCACCGCCGAGACCTCCCAGGGCGACCAGGGCGCCGCGCGTCGGATTCAAAGGGTGCGCGCCGCGGGCGCGCGAGCCGCGAGTTGCACGCGTCAGGGGGAGGGGGAAGGGCAAAGAGAGAAGAGAACGAAGGACGAGAATGTGCGAGGGAGTCAGGAAGGAGAAGCACAAGGGAGGAAAAGAAGAAAGGAGGGGGGCGAAGAGGAGGGAGGGGAAGGGAGAGAGAGAAGGGGATAAGGGAGGAGCGGGGAGAAAGGAGGGAGAAGAAAGGGCGAAAGGGAGAGGGACGAGGGAGGAGAGAAGAGAAAGGAGAAGGAAGCGGCATGGGGAGGAAGGAGGAAGGAAGGAGGAAGGCAGGAGGAAGACAGGAGGAGGGACGAGGAGCAGGAGGAGGGACGAGGAGCAGGAGGAAGCGCCAGAATCGCTCCCCCCAAAACGGCATAGACCCCCGTGGCCCCCCGCTGGCCAGAGGCCTCACCATCTCCCCTCCCCCTCTCGCGTCTCCCCCCGGAGGAGGAGGGCGACGGCGGCGGCGGCGCGGACGACGCCGATGAAGGAAGCGACGCCCGGCGGCGGCGACGAAGACGGCACGCAGCCTCGTCCAGCTGCTTGCGGATCCCACCGATCTTCCCCCGGATGGCGGAGAGCTCCTCCTGCGGTGCGCTGGGCGTGCGGCGGGCGGCGCTGCTCGCCCCCCCCCCCCCCCCCAAATGGAGCGGGAAGAGAGGGGGTGGGCGAGGAGGGGGGAGGGAGGAGAGACATGGGGGAGGAACGGGGTACCTTTTTGCAATTGCTTCGGGCCACGGTCGTGGCACGGAGGGGGGTGGGCGAGGAGGGGGGAGGGAGGAGAGACATGGGGGAGGAACAGGGTACCTTTTTCATTGCTTCGGGTAACGGTCGTGGCACGGAGGGGGGGTGGACGAGGAGGAGGAGGAGGAGGAGGAGGAGGAGGAGGAGGAGATAGAGGAGGAGGAGGAGGAGGAGGAGGAGGAGGAGGAGGAGGAGGAGGAGGAGGGGAGGAGGAGGAGGAGGAGGAGGAGGAGGAGGAGGAGGAGGAGGAGGAGGAGGAGGAGGAGGAGGAGGAGGAGGGAGGAGGAGGAGGGGGAGGGAGGAAGAGGAGGAGGAGGAAGGAGGAGGAGGAGGAGGAAGGAGGAGGGGGAGGAACAGGGTGCTTGTCTTATACAGTCAGGGCGTTGACCTAAGGAACCTTAAATAAGGAACGAGGCCCCTTGATCCCAAAAGTTAAGCTTCGATTTCCCATCGAAGACCTCAGGAAAACCCACGCCAAACTGTAAAACAATCAAGGAACACCGAGCCCCTCCCCAACGAGAAGGGTTCCTTCTTCAGGGCCCCGACTGTATTGCTTCGGACAACGGTCGTGGCAGGGAGAGGGGGGGGGGCGGACGGCGGCAAAACGCTCGGGCGGGGCGGGGCCCGGCAGGGCGGGGATGCGCAGTGATCGCTGCAGTCAGCGCGCGAGCCCCGGCATGTGGGGTGCCCCCCCCTACGTACAGGGCAGGTTTTAATACATTTGATGCTTAATACATTGGATTTTTTAATACATGAACAATTGACTCATAAATCAATGCATACATGATTCGTTGCTGTTAATACTAAAGCCCTGCATTTCTTATACATGATCCGCACGCGGAGCACGTATTAAAAACGGCAGTGTACGATCGTTACCGTTATTTGGGGGGGCGAGTTACGAGCGTTACGCGCCAGAGGGTTCTGTTTACCCAAGAAGCAAAGTAGAAACGCCAGCGAGCAGGCGATGAGGATCAGGCGAGGAGGAAGAAGCAGGGAGCAGGGGAGGGAGAGGGAGAAGGAGAAGGAGGGGGAGGTAGAGAAGGACGGAGAGGACGTGGAGGGAAGAACAATAATGAGGTCGAGGCAGAAATGCGGAAGGAACGAAGGCAGGACGGAGTTGGAGTTGGAGAAGGAGGGGATGGCGAAGAGGAGGAGCAACGGGGAAGATGAGATAAGACGGGAGGAGGGACGAGAGGTAGAAGGAAAAGCAACCGTGGCGACAACGTTTCGAGGACGGAACACATGTGATTCATAACACGGGCTTCAAAACAACCATAAACGACCGGCTGGAACACTGCCGCCGAGATCGGACCGAACGTAAGATGCCGAGCTTGGTCGTCCGCGGGGGATCCATACACCTATACTGATGCACGCATACATACACACATACACACATACGTGAATACATGCGTACATGCATACATACGAACCTACGCACTGACCTGCTTACCTACACACATACATACATACATACATACATACATACATACATACATACATACATACATACATACCTGCATGCATGCATGCATACATACATCTACATGACCATACACCGATGCACACACATACGTATAGCTATACATATGCATGTACACATACATTTACATATACGTAATCGTACACATCTACCGATTCCTGCTCATATACATATGTCTATACAATTACATATGCATATGCATAGACATATACGTACACATGTACACACATATACATACAGGTGTACACGATGCGCGTATGTACACATCGATATTTATATATATAAATATAAAAATGCAAACAGATATATACGTATATCTATACATGTAAATCGGCATGCGCAAAGACACGGCGCGAACAACTGACAAACCATTAGCCAGAGCAAGCAACTGCCCAATCAAGGTCTCGAGGTTCACTCCGCCTCCTGGACACATCTTAATTCGACGCAAGAACTGCATGCGCATTGCCACCGAGTCTGACCCGTATCCTGAACTCATCCCTCATCCACGGTTTCCAATTGCTCGTCGTCATCATGATCCTATTCCACCTTCGACTGCTTCTCTTCGTCCCGCTTTCGGGGAGGCGTAAGACTCGGGTGCGACGAACTCGGGTTGGCCTGGCGAGGCCGACAAGACAATGGCGAGACCCAATTTAACATGTGACGCGAGCTGCTGATGCAAAGCCGACTTCCGGCGAACTCAAGTTTTACGCCTTCCCGACTCCTCTCGTCGCACTCGTAAGACTACTCCCAAAGGGCGTGCTTTAAGTGTTCCGGCCCTTCCCCTCCTCCACCCCAGCCTCCTTCACTGTGTCCTTCCTCTCCAGACACGGTTACCTGATCCGCATGGTCAAACAAATCATCCTCTTTGTCGTGCTCGTATCCCTCCTCCTCATCACAAATGTCCTCCTCATTTCCGGCTTCAGACTTGTACTAGCTAAAACTGCCCACCTAAAATTATCTCCACTTGACTCGTATTTCTCCTCTTTTACATTGCACATCCGCGCGGCTTCTGCCCTCCTTCATCGGGCCCTCAGCCAAGCCCTTCAGCTTGGCCTCGACCATCCTGCGGCAGCATAGGCAGCAGCAAGAAGAAAGAGCCCGATCCAACCATCAATTTGATGGGTACGATCTGGTTCAATATTGAAGAACGTCGGCATGGAGGTATGGCCTGGCCTGGTGTGAGAGCAACCGGCATGCTACGGTGTGGCATTGATGAGCCATCGTGCCGAGCCCAGCGCACGGCGTGAACTCGAACTCGACCTGCCAAGTACGGTTCTGCCAGGATTCGCCTGCAGAAGACATTGAACCAGACACCCAGACCCCCGACTTCGTGAATTGTTCCATGTGGTCTCTGGAACTCCCGACTCTTTCCCTGGGGCCCGTCTTTCATCCCGTGCCGCTTTCGAACGGCCACGGGACTCGAAGTGGGCCTCCAGAGGCCGCAACTGAGAAAATCGCCCGTGTGGAAAAGATCACCACAGCGCCTGGGGTGCGTCCTGCGTCGAATGCTCTCTGGAGGATCCGGCCGTGGCGACGGGAATGCCCCCCTGAGGCCCAACAACGTCGCCGAGCACCTCCATCCATGAAACACTGCAGCTTCGACACTCAACCGACGACCGACCGCCGACCGACGACCGCCCAGCCCGCGCCCGCCCGCCGCCGTCGCCGCCGTCGCCGCACCGCTGCCGCCGCCGTCGACGCCGTCGCTGGCCGTCGCGGTCGTCTGGCGCCGCCGTCGCCCGGTGACGTCGCCCGCCCGAGCCTGTCCTGGAAATCTCGGACACTCCCTTCCCGGCCGGCGTCGCGACCTGCCAGGGCTTCGCTGGCGAGGGGCGGGGAGGGGGGAGGGCGCCGATCGCCCCTGGCTTGCGAGGGGGGACGACGCCGACGGCGGCAGCGGCGGCGGCGAGGAGGCTGGGCGGGGGCTTCGCCCTCGGATGGCACGGAGGGGGGGAGGGGAGGATCGTGGTTCGAGGATTTGATGAGATGCTGCATCCTTTCTGGGCCTCCTGCGGGCCCGTCCCCTGAGATCCGACGTGGCGAATGGCTTGCAACATCGTGACAAACACGACTGGAGCCCCACACCCAATCTGTCTGTGAGGGCCCGGGGCCTCAAACCCGGCGACAGCGCCCGGTGTGGACAAATTGCGATGCGCAGATCTCAGGGTCGTCGCCACGGCTAGCCAGGTTCCCACCAGAAGTCTGGTGAGAACGCACCCCCGGAGAGATCGGCGGGCAATGAGGACGGGTGGGTTGGGGGGTGGGAGGCCGATTGCCCCCGGCTGGCGAAGAGCGAGGGGAGGCGAGGGAGGGAGGGCGGCGACTTCCCCCCCCCCCCGTCCTTATCTTCCCATATCACCCTCCTCCTCCTCCTCCTCCTCCTCCTCCTCCTCCTCCTCTTCCTCTTGCATCTCCTCTAGCATCTCCTCTTGCATCTCCTCCTCTTGCATCTCCTCCTCTTGCATCTCCTCCTCCTCCTCCTCCTCCTCCTCCTCCTCCTCCTCCTCCACCTTGCTGCGGCCTGGCATCCGCCCAACATGAGGAGCTGGCCCCCGGGAAGGGGTCAGGAGCCCCAGGGCCCCGAGACCCGAAAGCACGGAGTCGTCGGAGGTCTGGGAGGGGAGGGCGGGAGGGGGGGAGGAGGAGGAGGAGGGAGGAGGAGGAGGAGAGGAGGAGGAGGAGGAGGAGGAGGAGGAGGAGGAGGAGGAGGAGGAGGAGAAGCAGGTGCAGGAGGAGGACGAGGAGGAGGATGAGGAGGAGGAGGGGGTGTGGTCGACGAAGGCCATCCTGGGGAGGTCAGCGGCCTCTGGGACATGGCACGGGGCCCGGCACCCGCACTGGAACCTCTTCCTCCTCCAGGCTGTCTCCCTCCTGCTGCTCCCCCTCCTCCCCCCTCCCCTCCTCCCTCTGCCATTCCCCTCTCCCCCTCCTCCCCCTCCTCCCCTCCTCCCCTCCTCCCCTCCTCACCCTCCTCCTCCTCCCCTCCTCCCCCCCCTCCTCCTGCTGCTCCCCCTCCTCCCCTCCGCCATTCCCATCCGAATTCCCCACCGCCGCGGAACTCTGGCACCGTGGCCCCTGCCACGCTGAGGCCTGGTAGAATGCCGAGTGCTGCCCGGCAGGGTTTCTGTCTCCTGGCAGGCCCCCCCATACTGGCAGGCTGCTGCGTGCACCCCCCCTGCTCCCGAGGCCACGGTCCCCAGTTCAAAAACGATGGATGCGCGCTCCCGAGGCCACGATCTCTCCTACCAAGAACTGTGCGTCCGCGCCCCGAGCTTCCAAGACGGCCCAGGCAGGCAACAGAGGCAACCAAGATGGTCCAATATGCCTCGAAGACGGCCCAAGATGGCCCCAGGGTGGCCGCTGATGAGCTCAAGACGGCCCAAGATGCCTCCAAGCTAGCCCAAAAGGGCCACAAGAGGACCCCCGACAGGGTCCGAACGAAGAAGCCCAAATCATCATGTTCCCGATGTGTGGTGAAGGAGCTTCGCCTTCTCACCATGTCGGGCTTCCGTCAGCTCCAGACGGTCCAAGAAGCCTCCAAGATGCCGCTAAGACAGCCTAGGAGGCCCCCGAGAGGGTCCCCAAGATGGCCCAGGAGGTCTCCACGATGGCCCACGAGGCATCAAAGACAGCCTAAGGGAGCATCTGGAGGGACCCAAGACGGCCTTCGAAGGCCCTTCGACGGCCCTTCGACGCCCCCCCTCCCCAATACGGCCAACAGGGCGGCACAACGGTCGAACAGAGCCCCAAGACGGCCTGAAGAGAGCTTCAGGACGGTCCAAGAGGGCCCCAAGACGGCCCAAGGCAGGCCCCCAAGACCTCCCCACAGAAGGCGGCAAGACAGCCCCGAGACGGGCCAAAGAAGTCCCATGAGAGCTCCCCAAGAAGTGAATACGACACGTGTCACATGTATTCGCCTTACTCTAACTCCTGCTCATGCCCCTGCTCCTGCTCCTGCTTCTGCTCCTGATCCTGCTCCTCCTCCTCCTCCTCGGGCTCCAACTGATAGGTTCTTGCAAGATCGATTCACAATATTTGCGGTGCGAAATCGGCCCCGCACTTTCGCCAGAACCCTTGGTCTGGACCCCCGCAAGCCACGGCAACTCGCAGAAATCGGCCTGGAACTATCGCCAAGTCGTTCGATATCCACTAGGACCCCTCCAGTGCAAGCACTGATTAGGGAAAAAACAATACCCAGACGCAACGGGGTGGAATGTAGCCGAAAGCGGGAAAGCTAACAATGAGTGGAGCTTGCGACGCAAGGGGGGAAGATCGGATCAGGATGATGCGAGAGATGGCGTCCATGGCCCTGTCCTCAAACTGAGTCTCTACAGCGTGAAACAGTTCTGATCTCGCCCCGAACGTACAATTCGCAACCGCAAGTCGCACTATCGCACCTGTCCGGACTTGCCTGGGCCTGCTCGAGATACTGCTCGTCGCGCGTCGCGTGCCAGCTCAGCGCCTGCCTTCTCGAGCGCCCACCTCGTCGGCTCGAGCGTCTCCTTTACCGCTCACCACGTTGCCATCGCTAGCGCCCAGTGGCACAGCGCCACGCGAGGTTGGGAGATTTTTGTCCACCAAATTTGAACCCAGATGTCCGTCAATTACTGATGTACTCCCTCTGCATGTTGTGAGCTGCGGCGCAGAAACGCTGTCATTGTCGAAATCGAGCAGCTTCCGCATGAAGGCCGGACCCGCCATCATCTTCTTCGATGCATCCCAGCCGAGAGGCTCAGTGCCGAGCAGCACGCCGACGGCTGCGAGCACAGTAACCACATCAGATGGCGGCATGGGCGCGCAGGATCCCCGCAGTCTGCGCGGGTCCACGGACCTGAGCGCCTCTGCGGCGGCTTCGATCGTCTGACATGGCCGTCGTCGAGTCCAGGTCGCAGCCTGCCACCATCTCGCGCGGAGTCTGCCCTGCCTCACCTGCCAGCATCGCCGCATCGGTCGTCTCCGCACCCGGCACGTCTGGTCTGTCCTGCTGCGGGTTGCACGTCACGCCCGGGGAGCACAGGTGCATGCCCCTGTGGCGTTCTGGCGCGAGGCCGCCCGTGGCGCTGTGCAGTATGGCACGGCTGCCCCGGAGCACGGGGTCCCCTGGCTGCCAGGCGCGCGCGCAGCACAGCGCTGACGAGATCGCGGGGGCGCATCAGCCGCTCGCACCACGAGCGCGCCGCTCGCACCCCTATCACGCTGCCGCCGCCAAGCTTGATTGATCCCGTGCCTCTCGTGTGCAACACCGGCGCTCTGTGGCAAGCCCCTGGACGCCCCAAGGCCACAGGCAGGGGCGTCGGCTCGGCCCTTGCTCGCGGTGGTGTGCTCGGGCAGCGCGGGTGCGTTCCGTCTGCTGCCGCTGCGCCTGCTCCGCCTCCTGCGCCACTTCCGCTGGCACGAGGCCGCTCGGCGTGGTGCCTGAGGCCTGCACGGCCAGAAACGGGTGACGGATGCACTCCACCATTGCGAAAATCCACCGCAGCCCTGTCGGCGGCGGAGAGCGCTTCGTTCGCGAAGCGCATCGAGCAGAAGGTAGTGGAGCCCAGCGGGCAGCGCAAAGCCTCGCCGCTGCCGTCCTTGTGGGCAACGTCGCGCGGAGAGCCGTCGTTCACGGGCGACTCGACGCAAAGCATGTACGAGCAGCGCGGCGGGTGCTTTTCGTAAGAAGCACCGTCGTTGTGTCACTGCAGCGAACCGCCGCCGCTGCCCTTCTCGGAGCCGTACGCACGCCGCGCGCCGCCCAGCCGCGTGCGCGCAACCAGCCCGTGGTGATCCACCGTCAACGCCATTCCCGAGCACGAGGATCTCTGGGTGGCGTGGCAGCTGGAAGGTGCCCGCGCCGTCGAGGAACTCCTCCTTGTACCACTCCTACGGGTTCGTACGCTGGTCGCGCCACGTCGAAGTCGCGTGCGACGTGAAGTGCCGCATGAACGCCAGCTCGGCATCGGGCGAGAGCAACGTCGACTGGCCCGAGAAAATGAGACAGCTACGCTCCGCCACGGCCGCGTCGATCAACGCCCAATCCGAAGCAGTGATGATTTCGGGCGAGCTCAAGTCCACGCCGCTGATTGCAGAAACAAACGGCATCGTAGACCCGTTCAGAGCGCGCAGTGGCCGTGCGATGACGGGTATCAGTGAAGTGCTCCAGCGCCCAACTCGACGAGCTCCGAGTTGGAAAGAGCCACAGAGGAGCAGATTACAAGACCGCAGACAACCAGACAAAACCCGACGGCCATCGAACTCGACAATTCCATCGGACTCTGGCGGTGCAGACTCACTAGGACCAGGCGAAACATCCCTAGGATCCCCAGAAGGCCAATCGATGACCGAGCCAGCAACACCAGGCTCAACCTGAACGGCATCACTCCTGCAAAGCTGAGCTCGCTGCAACACTTGATCCCTCCAAGCCCTCAGAGCCTATTGTTGCGAGGGCTGACATACGGAATAGTTGTCAGAAACAGACACATGTTTACAGAGACTTGCTGGGTTTCGAGCAATTGCCAAGCAGCACTTCCACTGATAATTAGACCCTGGGGCTCCGAGCGACCACTGTGTGAGGGCCTACTCCTACACGAAGTGTGGGTGTGGGCTCATTCATCCGTTTCTGAAGCCCATCAGGCCTCCCGGACCCAGCATCTTTAGAAATCAGCCAAATAACCGCATACGAGAAGACTCGGGCCTACATCTTCGCATCCTGGAGCTTCGATTCAAACGACGTGACGAGGGTGTTGGCGAGGGAGTGGCACTCACCACCACATCGAGCGAAATGATCCGCCCACAAATTGCCCAACTGGTACTCCCACGGAATCGT